GCATCCCCCTCCCTCCTGGGGCTGGAGAGCCCTCTTCTGTTTCTCCCCTCTCATTCTCCTGCCTACTCAGACACTGGAGTCTCACTGGCAGCTCACAAACATTCCTGGAACTCAAGTCCAGAGGTTAGAGGCCTGTGGAATGTTCACTTCTGTTGCTCCTGTGCCACAGGCTACCCTAGTGCTTCCCCCTACACTGTTCCTCATACAATGTCAGTTTACCCCTGTGCTTTGCCACACAGCTGGCAGCGGCCCAGTATACACAGTTATCCAAGAGTTTCACAATAGCACCCAAAGGACCCAAGCAGGCTTGGGTCCTATTCATAAGGGAGGAAACTGACGGGCACAGTGGTGTACACCTGTAATCCCAGTGGCTCAGGAAGCTAACCAGGAGGATCTCAAGTTCAAGGCCAGCCTCAGCAATTTAGTGAGGCCCTAAGCAACTCAGTGAGATCCTGTCTCAAAATAAAATTTTTTTAAAAGAGCTGGGGGCTGTGACTGTGGCTCAGTGGTGGAGTGCTTGCCTAGTATGCGTGTGAAGCACTGGGTTCGATCCTCAGCACCACATAAAAATAAAAATTTTAAAAAAATTATTTAATTAAATTTATATTTAATTAATTTAATGTTTAATTTAAATTAAAAAAAATTTAGCAAGGAAAGTTGGAGACACTGACCCAACAGTGTTGACGCCAGGATCACCAGGCTAGGTGGACCCCAAGGCTGATCCAGGCACAATAAGCCAGTCGCTATGAATACCCTATCTGTACCAGGAACAACGGTCACTGTATTGCCAGGCACCAGGTGGGAGGATAAAGTGAGGGCTGCAAAGGGAAGTCCTAGGAAAGTCACAGGCCTCAGATAAGCACTAGGAGGATGACGATAATTATGACGACGATGTGAGCCCCAAGCTCTTAAGAACTTTCTATCTAAAACAACAATCTGGAGAGACCTGACCAGATCAGGACACCTGAAGACTGCCACCTCAGGAGGGCACTGGCAGGCAGGAAATAGAATCTTAAAAGATCATCCCAAAGCCCATATAAATCTACTTTTGAAAAATAGTATATTCAGTTTATAAAAAGTATTTATAAAAACAGCAAATAGTACAACTCCAATTCAGGAGTTAAAGGACAGGGTTTCTGATGCTTCACAAACCCTAGGTCAATGTGGTTTCCTCCTGACCTGAGAGGCCTCTTGCCCTAGGAGGGCTAGGGGAAAGCTGCCCCACTTGATTCCTTACTCTGGAGGTTAGTCAGAAGCCTTGGCAGAGGTCACTACAGTCCTACTCATCTCATTATCTGCTTCTTCCTATCTGCAGTGAAACCTGGTTCTGCAGAAGTCACTTCCCAGGAGTCGGGCCATGACAGCTCTGTCACTCGCTCAAGTACAGGCTTATGGCCCCTATATCCACTCTACCCCAGAGTCTCCACTGGGTCAGGCTTTGACTCCATGCTGCTTAGGGACTCACCATGCTCCAGAGTCCTGGGCTACATCTTTTGTTTACCCCACACAGAGGTCCCATGGTCTTCTTGATCTGCCTCCTGGCCCCCCGCCCCCCACAGTTCCTACCTGTCACCTGTGGCCCCAGCTATCTGCTCCTCCTTGGGGTCTTGGCTCTGACATCAGCAGATTTGTTTCTGGGGACTACCTAAGGGTGGAACTAGGTCTCTCACATGGGCACCCACAAATGGGCTCTATGAATGTGTGCAGAGGGAACTAGCCACCTCTGGCCCAGAATGGCTCTCTGTGACAGGGTAGGGAATAGCTTCATAAATATTAAAAAAAAAAAAAATTTCCCATTACCTTATTTTTTAGTTTTCGGCGGACACAACATCTTTGTTTGTATGTGGTGCTGAGGATTGAACCCAGGCCGCACGCATGCCAGGCGAGCACACCACCGCTTAAGCCACATCCCCAGCCTGGTAATGGGAAATTGAAGAGATATGTCTGGTGCCTTGGACAGTGGTGGCAGCAGGAGCAGCACAGAACATGTCAGTAGCGTATGGCACTGGCAGGCACTGCTTGACTAGCTCCACAGATGGACACACTTAATCCTCCCCAAAGCCTGTGAAGTGGGAGCTGTTATCAGTTCTGTGTTCCAGATTCAGAAAGTGAAGCATGGGGGTCTCAGTGACTTGTCCAAGCTCACTGAGCTAAGCCACAATGAAGCTGACTTTCTCTGAGTCACTCCCCACCATGGGCTCCGTCAGTTTCTTGGCCTCAGGCCTTTGCTTTGCAGAGGTGCAGAGACTGAGTTTCTGACCCTCAGACTGCCTCGCCACATTGGGCCATACCCAGCCTGCTGAGCAGTAAAGCAGGCCTTGAGGGGTTCCACATTCATATCACTCAGGGGCTCTATGACCCACTCAGTAAACATCCCTGCCCACTGCCTGGCCACTGCCACCCTCTTGGTTCTCCCTTGGAAGGATGTTCAGCAGGGAGAAGGCACAAAGGACATGGAAGATCCGTTTTCCTTAAGGTTACTTTGAAGCAGACTTCCTCACAGAGAAGGAAAGGGGCAGTGAGACAGAGACAGGACAGAGCAGAATAGCATGGTTCAGATGGACATGTTTGAAGTAGGAGTCAGTGTTGGGGTGACTGAGATGTCCCATGCTCCACAGCAGAGAGGTGCTTCAGACTCAAGCAGAAGGTGAGAAGTACCTGCTGAGGGGTGGCACCCAAGGCCAGTACCCACAGGCTGAGCAGGAAACCTGGCTTCATAAGCCACTTGGGAAGAAGGATAGCAATGACCATCTGGTTCTATACTTTAGGAGAGGGCTGGGTCCATCTAGATCATTCAAAGAGACTCCTGCTGTAGACTTTCCCTGTGCTGAGTCCATCCCAAGAGGAGGGCCAGGGAAGCCTAAAGCTAAAGCCCACTGGTGGTGACTGCCCTGGCTCTGGCTGGTACCTCAGCTAGAGTGCCAAGGCCAGGAGAGAAATGTGGGCCTGGAAAATAGCTAATGACAAAGCCCCAGGAGAGCACGGCCAGATTAACCCAAATGTACCTTGTATAAAAAAACGGCTGAACCTCAGGTGCCTCTGTGGAGTCCAGGTTTCCTCAGGCACCTGAGTCCAGTAGGAAAGCCTTGCTTTGTAGCATCCAGGAACACACAGACATTGTCAATTTTGCAAAACAGGCAACTGGTTGATGTCTTGGCATCTGATAGTGGGTAGATGTGTAAAGGGGCTGAATGGTGAGGTTGGACAAGGGTGCCAGAGGGACTGGACACCAGTGCCAGGCCACAGGAAAGCCATCACTTATAATCTATGATGCAAGTTTCTTGTAAAGTTACTACCAGACTCCTAATTGCTAACACATAACAAAACCTTCCATGTATACCCCTAAAACAGTGACAGGAAATGTTTTTAATGATATACTCCTCTGTATCCAATGAAGCTATTTTTAACCATCTTCTTAGACTTAATTTCCAATTTTATCCTATAAAGTTCTAATTGATTCCACCTCCCCTGATCTCTCACTTGATGAGGCTGTGAGGAACACAGGCGGTTTTTGACAGGGTTGAAGTGTCTCTTCACGTTGCTCACATCTCTTTTAGCACAGGCCTTCTTCCCAGGGGTTAACAGGCTCTCCAAAATGTCTGGAAATAGTCCTATAAACCCCAGCCACTGAGACCTGGCCTCTCCCTTGTAAGAGTCCATCTGTGGGCCCAAGGTGTACAGTCCTAGCTGTTTACTGTGACATGTCATGGATGATAGGACACAATGTGGAGGAGTTTTTCTCACTTAGCCCAAGATCCAGAAGCAGGAAAAGGATGCCACACCACTTGATGTCTAACAGAGACATCAAGGATCCTGTGTGTGCCTCCTGTGGGCTAAACCGTTCTCCCCTTTCCCCACTTTCACACCTCTCTTTTCCTAATGGGCTCCATGTCCCTCTCACACCCTTATTCTCCCATGTGCTGGCAGAGAGAGGGTCTGCTGAGTCCCCACCTGGTATCAAGAGCCAAGGAACCAAGGCCTTGTAGGACCTTCAAATCCTGCCTTGCTCCCAGCCCTATCACATGCCATATGCCAGTCACTCTGGGCTTTGTTCAGTTCCTCAATGTGCCTACTGCCTCCTCCAGACCTGCAGGCAGACTGCTACCTCTGCCAGAGACACTCTCACTCCCTGAAGTGAGATGCTCCACTAGGCATGACCCCAGTGCTGACTGTCACCCCTTGTTTGAGCTTTTTCTCTACTGAAACTGCTACACTATGAATCTGTATTACAAGCTGTCACAGCAAGTTCTGGAGTTGGAGCCACATCTATTTTGCTGATAAGGGTCACAGTGAACATGTATTGAACAGGTACCCAGAGACAGACATGGGCCAAACACTTGGCAGAAATTCTTATCTCTCTCTCTCTCTCTTTTTTTTAAAATTCTTTTTAGTTGTTGATGAACCTTTATTTTATTTATTTTTTGTGGTGCTGAGGATCGAACCCAGCGCCTCACACATGCTAGGCAAGCGCTGTATCATTGGGCTACAACCCCAGCCTGAGAAATTTGTATCTCTTAATCCTCACCATGAATGAGGAAGGCAGCACCCACGACCACCACACACTACAGATAAGTGTACCAGATTTGAGCACTGGGGATTTCTCCATGGTTGCTCACAGGATAAAAAATAGTGTCAGGCTGTGCTCTTAGAAGCCTTAACTCACTCACTGCTCAGTTTCCTGGCATGTCCCTGGAGTGCCCACCTAGCCAAGAGTGGGATAAACAATCAAATGCTCTGGTGTGGCCCAGGCCATAGCTGGATAGGGGCACTCTGGCAAGATCTAGCTTTGGGGATTTTGGAATCTAGATGGCTGGCCAGGGTTTGAATGGCTCAAAGAGCCAAAATCCCAAGAAAGGAACTGCTAATTCATTAATTTGGGCTGGAAAACAAGTCCATGCTAATTATATTTTTTAAAAAACCCAACACCTGTTGGCCAACTTCAAATGGTCTAAATGCCAGACCAAGTATGGGCAACTAAGTGAACTCACATCATAGCCTACCTGAGTGAGGACATCCAGCTGGCTCACGATGTGCTCCAGTGTGCTGGTCAGTGTCTGGGGCATGCTGATGGACTCCTGGGGCTGGCTCTGCACGGACTCTAAACTCCTGCCTCTGCCCGGTGGGATAGGGAAATCCACTTCTGGCTAGAGAGAAAGAAGAGTCCCTCAGTCTATTCAATATGTGAGGAAATGCTGAGAGAAGAACAGCCCCTCCAAAGGATCACGTGGAAAACCACCAGCAAATTTGAGAAAATGACTTCAAAGTGTCAGTAAGAAACAGCAGAATGATGGGGCTCCCACATCAGGGTCCACATGTCTACCTTTCTGAACAGAGGCTATGAGGAATGCAATCAGAATACGGTGGTCTAGGCTAGAAGTGGCCTGGCGAACAGGCAGGTAAGCCAGTAGGTGCCCTCTTGGGGTCCTCAAGGAGGCTGGTCTGTGTCTCAACTCTTCACTCAAGGTGTACCCACTATCCCGAGTAGGCTAGAGACACTGAAGACTACCTGGCCCCGAAGCCGCCTCTCTTCCCAGTCAGCCCACTCTAATTCCCCACCCCCAACATGGGATGCCCCAGGTTTCACGAAGGCCTTCCCAAGGGTCTAGCAACTGTGGCCCAGATTCAGGTGAGGGGATGTCCCAAACTTGCCCTGGCCCAGATCCTCTGGGGGAAAAAAAAAAAAAAGATTTCTCTGTGACTGTCCTGGCCAGATGGCTCATGGGAGTTGAAATCCATAAGATAGGAACAGTCAGGCTATTCCCAATGTGACCTCAGGAATATGAGGTGCTCCATGTTTCTGTTTAAGGCCCTTCAGGCTTGTGCCAATTAGAAAAGTCAGGTCTCTGCTTTAAACACAGATGAGGCTTCCCCAGACCCAAGAAGTGCAGTGAATATTCAGCAGGTGGGAACACCCCAGCTTTGGTTTGATTTGGTTTCTTTTGGTGGGAGGGTACTGAGGATTGAACTCAGGGGCCCTGGACCACTGAGCCACATCCCCAGCCCTATTTTGTGTTTCGTTTAGAGACAGGGTCTCACAGTTGCTTAGTGCCTCGCCATTGCTGAGGCTGGCTTTGAACTCATGTTCCTTCTTCTTCAGCCTCCCAAGCCACTGGGATTACAGGTGTGTGACTCTGTGCCCGGTCCAGCTCTAGTTTTTTGGTTTTTTTTTTTTTTAAGTTATACATAAACACCTCTTTATTTTGTTTATTTACTAATTTATTTTATGTGGTGCTGAGGATTCAATCCCGTACCTCATATGTGTAAATCATGTGAGGCAAGCATTCTGCCACTGAGCCACGACCCCAGCCCAACCCAGCTCTAGTTCTGAAGGCTGTGATTCCTCTGTGGAATTGTTCCCTGTGGATTGCCATGCTCAGTGATGGCTCGACTCTTGCCCAGCCCCAAAGCCTCAGTGACACATAAATTTAGCCACAGCTGGGGCTTGGGCTTTAAACCACTGCCTCACTAATGGGCAAAGGGCATTCTAAACATTACCATGTCACCCCTCAGATTTGATAGTCCTTCAGGGCTCTCTGCCACCCTTGGGAGAAAAATCCAAGGCCCTTGGCAAGGTACTTGAAGCCAGTCCACCTCCTTCTAAAGCTCCTCTCCTGCCTCTGCCCCCTCACAAGCAGCTCAAGCAGCCTGACCTCTGCTCCCTTCCCCTCCCCACTTCTAACCAGGAGCTCCTCTGTGTTCCTGTACACCTGGGCCTGCTCCATCCTGCCCTGTTCCCTCAGTTACCACGCTGCCAGGACCAGGACACATGAATGGCTGAGTCAATGCTGGCCTGTCCACAGGGCCCATGACTTGCCCATAGAGCTTTGCCCTTTAACGCCTCCTGTTGCACATCTCCTTCCTTTCCTCGCTAACCCAGAACTCACTAGGCTCAGAGTCGAACTCCAAAGTAGCTCGAGAACTCCAAAGTAGCAGGCCGAGGCAGACAGCAGGGGTCTAATATATAACTAAATACACAGCTTAACATAACCATCATCATCTCAATGGCTTGCTGGCGTCACCTCTCAACCACTCTGTTCTGGCAAAAATGCCATGCGTTATCCCGACTCGGCTGTGGCCCTCAACACCTAGGATGCCTGTGTACCTGGTTCTGACAACGCAAGGCTGCCTACAAAGCCACCATTAGAAGCTAGCTGCTTCTCTTGTCTCTCATCTCTTGAACTTACCTACAGCAGCCCAGCACTGGGAACATGCTCTGCCCTGGACATGCTCACCTGGGCAGGCATCAGAGTCCTTAAAAGGAATCAGCACAGGAGAAGATTCCCAACTGATGAGGAATGTGAGGCAGTTGAGTGCGGCCCCTACCTGTATATTTTCCTTTACTAGGAAAGAGTTCTAATCTCATAAACCACAAACTCTCAAGGGCACATTGATTTGAACCTGGAAAAAATGTAAGCCCTGGTGGCTAAACAATGCATGTGAGACATAAGCCAGAGGGACGTTCTCAAGAACAGAAGCAGCACAATGTCCACGTGTCCACTGCCCTCACATCTGCTATGTACTATGGCCGCTCTCTAAGCCCTGAGCCATCAGGGCAAGGGCTTTCCCAGTCCTCCAGGAATCGACGCTTTTCAGATCTCCTTGCCCACCCAGAAGTCCATTCCAAATGAAAACATTTCAGAAGCCAAACGGCCTTGCCAGGATAGCCTTCTGCCCATTGCAGTGGACCCAAGGCCCAGGCAGTCTGTCAGAGACTCAGCAAGAGCACAGTGGTGAAGAATAGTGAGTCAGACTAGGTCTTGGCTGAAAGCCAAGCTCTGTCACTGACCAGTAAGAGGCAGTGGGCAAGAGGCTGACTTCTCTTGGCCTCCACTTCCTCATCTGTAATATGGGGGTGAAAACTGGGCCAGCCCTTCAAAGGGCTGGGTCATGAGAGGTGCTCATCTAAAGTCACCAGCAGGCCTTGGGAAAAGTTCACAGTGCTGTTCCAACTTCTTGCAGTCAAGCTCACTTTTCCTGTGGACCCTAAGTCGGGAAAGGTCACCGGAGAGAGGGTGTAGCCCTTCTGTCCCAACAGCACACATCCTCATGAAGTGAGCCAGACTGGTGCTGCCTGCTGCCCACTGCCTGAGGAAGAGGGAATGGAAATTCTGAGTGTTTCTGCAGAATAGCTCAGAAACTGCCAGTGCTGATGGCCGCTGAAAACACTGGATGATGGTGGAGTGGGAGTGAGCACCACTGACTTTAGCAACAGAAGCCTTCTTCTAAGCCAAAGCTGAGGAGGTCCAAGGGAGCATTAAGGACTGCAGCCACAGTGCCTGGAGCTGGTCTTCAGAAGAGAGACATGTTCCCATCCATATTGTGCTTTCACAGCTACCTCCATTTTACAAAAAAGGAAACAGACTGACAGAGGAAGTGACTGTCCTCAACCCAAAGTCTGCCTTGAGCCATTTCCCTTCCTCTTTGTCCATTCTCATCAGTTGACATCAGAGCACTTAATACCACTACAAGCCCAGCAACTGCTTTTGTTTACTTGCCGTCTACTACATGGCTCCATTTAATGTCACCCATTTAATGCATCGCCTCACTGAATCCTAATGATGGCCTCTGGAATAGGGATATTAACCTCATTTCTTAGATAGGGAAAATTAGGCTCAGAGAAGTTAAGTAACTTGCTCTAAGTAACCCAGCAAATGAGAGTGGGGATCTAAATTCAAACTACAGACACTTCCTAGACATCAGGCAGCCTCTGGAAGGTGACACTGGCTGTAGCTGGGCTTCCATGTGCACATCTTCTCTCTTGCATCTCAAGGAGGCCACCAGGTCATAGGTCTAAGAGTTTGGCATTATTCCCCCACCCTGCCTACCCTGGCACGCCTGCCCAGCAAAAGCTGAATACAGAGGAGGCTCTCCATGAACACCTAACGCCTCTAAGAGCCAGACCCACCGCGGTGTTGAAATTCCTGTGCAGAGAAGCCTCCCCCAATGCCTACACCTCAGCAAAGGACCTACAGCCCTGCCCCAAGCAATGCAGCCACTCACCTACACTCCAGCATTCTGAAGCTGTGGCATTTCCTGAAGAGCTTGGCAAATAAGTGAGAAAGCAGTGATAAGAAAGTGACATGAAAGTAGGAAAAGACATTCATACCAGGGTCATAAGTAATGACAATGGCAGAGTAACCAGAGCAGCATTAAGGGCGAAAGGAAATCCCAGTAGCCTTTTGTCTATTTGACATCAAAGTGGCTTTGCCTGATGGTTCTCAGTGAAGGCCAAGGGTGGACTAGGGTAAGAGAAGAACCTCTGGGAGCCTTAGATACAAGAGTTTGCACCCACTCACAGGTTCCTCCCCACAGACCACAGGACATTCGAGAGAAAGACTTGGTGGGAGCAGGGTAGTGAACAGGAGAAAACCAGCCGAGTGCAGGCCTGTAGAAGGGACCACAGAAAGGGCATTAAGCCCTGCCAAGGCCATACCTGTGTGCCCAGCCCTTCTCAGTTTTTGTTTATCTGAAAAAGTCTGGAAAGGGAATCTGATTTCTTTTTTGTTTTTGCCGAGTATACAATATTGGGCTAGCATCTTCCAATATGTCAAAGATGTTACTCCAATAATCTTTGGTTTGTATAGTTTCATGTGAGAATTCTGTAATTCTTACTTTTGATTCACTGGGTAAGCTCATCTTGAGACTCTTTATTATACCTGTAAACGTTCACAAGTTCTGAACTTCTCTCTCTCTCTCTCTCTTTTTTTTTTTTTTTTTGCAGAGATGGGGGAACTATTAGTCAATAGTCAACCCATGATAAAATGCTTAGGTATATATGTTAAAAATCACAAAACACTGATCAGAAAAATCAAAGATAACTTATATCATGAAGATATATATAGCATGCTTGTGTATTCCTTTTTTTTTGGGGGGGGGGTGGTAATGCTGGGGATTGAACCCATGGCCCTGTGCATGCTAGGCAAGCACTCTATCAACTGAGCTACATCCCAACCCCCTTGTGTATTCTTTAATAACAGCTCAATGCTGTTATGATGTCAATTCTCCCTCAAAGTAATAGGCATCAAGAAATTTATATGGAAAGACAAAGGAACCAAAAAAGTCAAAACAATTTTGAAACAAACAAAAACAAAGACACACAAATTAGAGGAGACACACTACCTGATATCAAGACTTGGTTTAAAGC